ATTTGTGGGTTAATAACTCACTTTCCCTTATATAATAGATAGGTTGAGAAATTTTTGTTTGGCAAGACACCATTCTAGACTTTCACAGGACTGTTCGTGATTACATTGGATTGTCTCATTCTCTGATTTTTTTGAAGGACGTCTCATTCTCTGATTGGTTGCTATAAGAAAAATGCTTGGGAGCACTAATTAGTGCTCCCACTAATTAGGTGGCAGTGGTCCCGTCATTAATGATGTGATATTTTGGTTTTGAAGTTATATTTTTTTTTTTTTACTTTTTTAATGCATTAGTGCTATTAGTGGTGATGTTTTTAGTGGGATGAATCATTGTTAGTTGTTATAAATAGGTGAGTGGGTGTGTTCTCCGGCTTAGAAAGAATCAACCACCGAATTCTGAATTTTTCTCTTACAAAGCATCCAATGAAAATACGCTCTCAGTCCAAAATATTAGTTATTTTTAAGGGATTTAAATTTTTTTAGTAATATAATTATTACAGTTTAAAATATCAATTATTAATAACTTTAAAAGAATGACAAAATATAAAATTAATGTTATTTTTATTTTTAATTTTTGAAAAGAGATTAATATTTTAAAATAATAAAAAATGAACTAATATTTTAAAATGAAAGAAGTAAAATTTTTTCACAATCTTTTCTTTTTGGACTTTTTATGTATTTATTCTTTCGGAGCACTTATTCATAAAGAGTGGTGCTATTAGAATCTCATGAATTATTTTGGATTCTTTATTTCTTTGGATCCTCACTTATAAATTTTAAAACCTTTAAAATTACTTTTTTCCTCCAAATAATACCAAAATTATTCTTGTGAAAGCATTCCACTCATTAAATGTACACCCCCCACCCCAAAGAAACCCCACTTCTAAAAAAATCCTAACAAGGCCCATGAAGACGAAGAAGAGGCAATGTAATTACTATCTTTGTTGTCTTATTCACCATTATCACAGTTGGTGTGCTCTCTCTCTCTCTCTCTCTATATATATATATACATGATTTCTTAGTTTCTCATAATAATTTCTTCTCTTGCAAAAAAAAATTATAATAATTGGTTTAGTTTTATCAATGAAACAAGTCTGAACCTAAGAATAATGTTCAGTTACCTGTTCCCGAACAAATAATAAATGTTCGGTTACTGGTTCCTGAACAAATAAACAATGTTCGGGCTTGTATTTTCAAATTTCGATCATATGTTCGGGAGTTCAGTCCCGAAAAAATGACAAACATATTTTATTATTTTTGCCATTTTTTTTCAAGAAACTTACCCTTAAAAGATCTATCTCCTCTGAGCTAAGAGCAACATCAAAGCTATGAATCTCCTCTAAGCTTTTATTGTTGTACTTCTCTCGTCTTATGGAGTTGTGATTGTTAGAAAAATTTTCACTCATTGGCATTACCAGAGAAATGTAGGTAATCAAATGGTTTCCACCGTTATTGCCAAAATATTGCCATCAAAGGGTTTTCAAGGTTTTGAGGGAGGATGGGGAGATTTTGAAGGTGAGATTTGGGGAAGATGGATGGGTGATGATAGAGATGGGTGCTCTCATAAACCCTAATTCATGATGTAATGAGTGTGTAGGTTTAATTGTGAGATTGAGTGTTCCAAAATTAATGATGTTCTTTGTAGTAATTTTATTTGAGATTATTATTGTAATAAAAAAATAGCTAAAAATTTGGGGGCCCAAAATAATTTATGAGGTGCTAATAGCAGCATTCATTCATAAATCCCTCTTCACCTTTGGGTAATTCTATTTACACATCATCGATCTTCTCAGTACACACCATCATTTAGGGTTATTTTGAGAAGTGGGTTAAAAGTCACTTCCCAACTTTTAACTCACTTCTCTCTCTCATAAAAAAGTTTAAAAAAGTCAAAAAATAGCTTTTAACTATCTTCCCAAAACATCTCTTAATACACAAACATAATAATTTTTAAATTGTAAAAATATCTCAGTTCACACCATGACTTTTCTTTTTTAATCTTAAGCTAATAAACAGGTACACATCACAACCAAAATGTTCAATTTTTATTTTTTATTTTTTATGTATGAACATTTTATATTTGATCAACCTTAATAATTTATAAATAATTGAACATTTTATAAATGTTCAACTCTAGTTATCCGAATACGTAACAAATGAATATGCTATTTTCTATACGAACGAAACAAAAAAGTAAACTAACTTTTTCATTATTGTATTGTTTCAAATCAATAATCTGAGTGTTACCCATTGTGTGCAAATCTTTAAAATCAATTGATTTCAGTGTTCTTAAAACCCTGAATCTTCAAAGGTAATAATGTTTTGAGTTTGAAAAATAATAATGAAGATTATAATAGCAAAGATGGTGAGTGTAGTATGTTAGATTATAATGGTGAAAATGTTTAGTGGAGTGTGTTAAATTATAATGGTGAAGATGAACAGTGTTGGAAGAGAGATTTGTTCCAAAAGATCTAGTGTATAAGTGATGGTGTGTAAAAAGAGATTTGTGTGTTTCATATGTGAATTACTTGAATGAGTACATGTGCATCCATATTGTCCTTAATAATCATTTTATTTGAAGGTATTATTGTCATATAAATTTAATGGTTAAATAGTGTATACGGGGAGAATTTATGGTGTGTAAATAAAATCTCTTCAATTATTTTCTTATATTCTAATAAGTCTTATGGGTGACCTATTATCAAAACACCTTTAATACTAATATTCACATTCACAGTATAAATATTCTATGATATGAAATTCACACTGTTAATATAAACATTCACACATATTAATGTGAATAGTCACATTGTAAAATATAAATATTCACATCACTAAATTACTAATTATTCATAAATATTTATAAAGATAAAATTATTCATAAAATACTTTAAATATAAAAATTAAAATTTAGTAAATTAAATATTCAAATAATAACATCCATGAACGTATTTCTCCATGACTATTTTTTTAATTAAAATAAAAATCGTCAATCAAAAACACTAATTTTAGCACAAATCAAAATTCTTAAATTTCGAGCAAATCAACACAAATAAAAAATCCTAATTTATGAACACCACCATCCCTAATTTTAGCATAAATAACAATAAATCAAAACCCTTAATTTTAGCAAATCAAAACCCATCACTTCAAGCACAAATAAACCATAAATCAACATATCCATTTTTATTTGAGAGAAGGAAAAAATAATAAAAAAAAGATTAGAGAGAGTACTTTTAAACAGTGGTGACTATAGGTAGAGACAACTGGAGCCCCAAATTCAACCAAAATTTTTGCCTCCACTCTCCAATGTATGTCTGCATTTTCATTGAATCAAAACAATCAAGTTAAATGAAATGTAAAAGAAGCCCTAATCAGAATAAGAATACTGAGATTATAAATATGTTTACCTTGGAGAGAGAAGGACGAGAGTCGTGTCGTCGTCGGTGTGTTAATTAAAATCAATGTTCGTAAAATTTGTTTTTTTTTTTAAATTATTAGTTTGATTTATTTGTTAATAGGGTTTGGCTTTGGTTCAGTCCAAGATCGGACTAGATCATATTATTGAATTTGTGAGAGTCTACTAAGGGTTTCGTTTTAATAATTTGAATTATTTAATGATGTGGTAGTAGGTCCCACCATGATGTGGATGTGGTAATTTGTGAATTACTAATTAGTGCTCCCACTAATGATGTGGTAGTAGGTCCCACCATGAATGATTTGATGTTTTGGTCTTGGTGTTGTATTTTTTTTCTTTTTTTATTGAGTGCCAAGTCATTAGTGGTCTCTTTAGAGCTCTAAAATTAGTGGTCTCTATCATTATTGCTATTTAATTTATAAAAATTGTTAAATATTATATATTTGTAAAAATTTATTATCTTATCAGATTAGATTTTTATCAATTATTTGTTTTTCACAATCTATTTTCTTATATAAAATTAATTTAATTAAATAACTATCGATATCTCATTAACATAGAGTATTAGATAAATTTTACCCATTAAATAATTTAAATCATCAAAACTTAATCCGTAATAAATTTTCACCGGATCAACAGTACCCTAGAGGAAAGTCAGCCTCCAAAAACAATACTTTGGTGCTGTTTGGTGTTGCCGTTAAAACAGATTACAGATTATAGATTATAGTTTAACAGATTATAGATTATGACTTTAATTAGAAGCTGTTAATCTGTTTGGTATAACTGTTGGATTATAGATTTAAGTTGCTGAGTAATGTTTGTTAAATAAGCTGTGAAGTAACTTTTTCAATTAATTTTTATTTTTTATTATTCACTATTTGTCTACATTTCTCATAAATAATAATAATAATATTTTATAGTCCATTTGGATCTTTTTCTATTTTTAAAAAAATAAAAATAAAAAAATTTAAGAGTATAACCGTAAATTAACATGTCCACAACAGAAGCTGATAATCAGAAGTAAGAGGTGAGCAGCTTCTCATAATCAGTTTTTTTGACTTAAAATAAGTTGTTAGAATCAGAAACTGTTTGAAATAAATTTAACCAAATAATCCAAAATAACTTTTCAAAAATCAAAAATCATAAATTGACTCAAAAAAACCCGACCCAACACCCGTAAAAACCCCAACTTCAGCTTTTTCAGGAAAGTGAAGATCACTCACACTCTCTCTCAGTAGCAGGACCAGTCGGTACACCATCTACCGTCTCTCTCGCAACCAAACCCACCTCCCCAAAATAACGACACCAATTCCGTGATTCGTCTCTGTCTCTCTCGCTCTCTCTCTCAATCTACATCTACATCTACATCTACATCTACATCTACATCTACATCTGTATATATATATATGTATATATTCATTCATAAAAATATCTCATTTGTATATTTGCATATCATTTTCTATATATTTATTCATCTATCATGCACCAAACCCAATTCTTATCCTGGTATATATTGAATTTCCCATTTCTCCTCGATTAATTGCTACATATATATATATATATATATATATATATATATTCATACATATGCATTTTCACGAGGGCTGACGTGTAATTCCACCGTTGTAATTGAATAATTCAATCTCCTTTTTTAATTCTTAGCTGAATTTGAGGGAATAATTCAATCTCCTTTTTAATTCTTAGCTGAATTTGAGGTGAATATGATTCACTAATTCTCCGAATTTAAGGCTACTTTTTCTCTCTATAAATGTAGTATGTATATCACTGGATAAACGTGCGTTTACCTTTTGCTTTAAATCAAATTGGGAAATTTGTTTGGCAAGAAACCATTCTTGGCTTTCACGGGACTGTTTGGGATTATATTGAATTGTCTCATTCTCTGATCGGTTGCTATAAATAGGTGAGTGGGTGTGTTCTTCTACTTAGAAAGAAGAGGGTTTTTCTGTGTGTACTTATTGGTTGAGTGAGTGTGAGATCAAAATGTGGGGTTTTGAGTCTGTTGATCTTTATTCTTGTTGAATTGATTTGAACACAAATGGGGGGTTTTTAATTTCTTAATTTCTGAATTTGATAAAAATATGAAGTCTTTCATGTTTTTCATTGTTATTGTTATTGTGTTTATGTTATGTGGGTGTGTTTTGGGCAAGGAGTGTACTAACATCCCTACTGAATTATCGTCGCATACTCTTCGATACGAGCTATTGTCTTCAAATAATGAGACATGGAAAGAAGAGATGTTTTCACACTACCATTTGATTCCCACTGATGACTCTGCGTGGGTGAATTTGCTTCCGAGAAAGATTTTGAGGGAGGAAGATGAATTCAGTTGGGTTATGATGTATAGAAATATGAAAAATTTGGGTGGGATTAATGTGCAAGGGGATTTCCTCAAGGAGGTCTCTCTTCACGACGTGAGATTGGATCCAGAGTCCAAGCACGGGGAGGCTCAGCAGACAAATTTGGAATACTTGTTGATGCTGGATGTTGATAGCTTGGTTTGGAGCTTTAGAAAGACAGCTGGTTTGCCAACCCCTGGCAAGGGGTATGGAGGTTGGGAGGACCCAACTTGTGAACTTCGGGGTCATTTTGTAGGTTGGTTTGGCTCCTTGATCACATCTCTTTTCTGGTTTATTTTTATATCCTTGTTCTTAGCTAGTTTTCGTTATGTGAATGGAAATTTCTAATTTCTTTTATTGTCTTTTACAGAACATCATTGCCAATGAAAATTTTATTTTTGTGTCATGCATGAAATTGACATCCTACTTCTTATGCATTTAATTCTCATCGCCTGTAACGATTGGTTCTGTTAGAGCATCTCCAAAGGTAGTAGGCATTTTACCTATCTAAATATTACTATAAAGGATATATTTTATTTTGCCTATCAATTATTTCATGTTTTTACTCCAACCATGCTCTTTATTTTAACTATTTATCCAAATACTATTAATTTTATAGAATGCCACGTCAACAACAAAGATGGAGGGAAATGATCCTAATGATTGAATACATTTTGCCTAGCGTTGAAGGCTAGCTACATGTAGCTAGTGAATATAAGTTGAGCCAAAATGCCTAATCATATGCCTAGTGCATTGGAATTGAAAAAAATGAATCACACTAGGCATTTTAACTAACAAGTATTATATGCCTAGTGCATTGGAGATGCTCTTATTTGTTATATTTTGGTTTAAATTTATTACTCTTCTAGAATGCATAAAATTGTTGTGATCTTTCCTTGTGATTTATATATTCATTGGTAGCGCAATCAACAGTTTACATTGACACTCGGTTTGCGGTTCCATAAACGCAAGATCTTTATCTTTGTGTTTTGCTTTGGATTGATTTTCTCAAATTCTGCTGGTACATGAACTATTAGACCATTATGACACGATCAAGTCTGCTTTTCTTAGCTTTTGGTTCCAGTTTCGTTGCAATTGTATGACTTCAATCTGTGACCTCTGTTTTTGTCATAAGAATTGTGGCCTGTCTATTTTTAACAATCTACTTTACTTTTTTATGTATTGAAGGGCATTATTTGAGTGCCTCAGCACAGATGTGGGCTAGCACTCACAATGACAGTCTCAAAGAGAAAATGTCTGCAGTTGTTTCTGCGTTATCTGCCTCTCAAGATAAAATGGGTACAGGATATCTTTCTGCTTTCCCTTCTGAACAATTTGACCGTTTCGAAGCTATAAAACCTGTTTGGGCACCATATTACACCATTCACAAGGTAAAACTGCATTAGAATTCTAGTTTTTTAGTTTAGCTCATACTTTTATTGTATATAACTGACTTTCACCTTTTCTTGATAAACAGATAATGGCAGGTCTTTTGGATCAATACATATTGGCCGAAAATGTTCAAGCTTTAAAGATGTTGACATGGATGGTTGACTACTTTTACAACCGTGTGCTGAACGTGATAACAAAGTACAGTGTTGAAAGGCACTATTTATCATTAAATGAAGAAACTGGTGGCATGAATGATGTCCTTTATAAGTTTTATGCAGTAACGGTGTGTACAACTCATCTAGGAGTCTCCTTAACTGTTCTTCTTGGTTCTTCAACATGTTTTAGTAATCTGATTATCTGTTAGATTTTTTCTATCAAATATCAACCCCAATGACTGGGTTCATAAGGCCTTAGAAAATTCCACTGCATATGCTATTTCTGGAATTTTGTGTCAATCATATACATAGTATAGTACGGGTTCCCTTATAGCAATAGGCAATCTGCAAAAGTTGTTTCATTCAATCTGAAATTCTGCAAAGAGTTTGACAACTTATTTTGCTTTGAATATGTATAGTATGATAATGCTCTTAACGGCAACATATCCTGCATTGAACAAGCTAGTGTCATTTTATAATCCCAATATTGGGCTGTAAAAGCTTCTGAGTTTGATAAATGGCAACACATATTATGAGGTTTTTGTAAATTGTCACAATGGTCGGGATTTGATTTAATTCATCCTTTTTTTTTTCTTTTTCCTTTTTTTTTAAAAAAAAAAAAATGGGTTTTGTTATTTCTTTGTAGCTTATCATTTTATAAGTCTTCCATGACTGCAAATGCTATGATATTTTATAACTTATTTTTGACAACCATTCATTTATTTATGTGTGTAGGGAGATTGGAGGCATTTATTGTTGGCTCACCTTTTTGATAAACCCTGCTTTCTAGGATTGCTCGCGGTAAAGGTAATTATTGCTTCTTTTGTTTACTTATGTTAACTTGCTATTGATCTCTATTAATTTTTTGGTCCATTTTACCTCAAAAATGTAGTGTCAAAGAATATATATTTTCCTTTTGAGAGACAAGACTATTCCATATGGTGAACTGTTTTTTTCCCGTACCAAAAAGGTGCATCATTGACTCCAATTGTTGGCTGCATCCAAACGAACTCTTTCGTTTGGACTTTCTTTCTGCTGTACTTGGGTGGGTTACTGGGTCTGGGATGAAGCAACCACTGCTGGAACCTATTTATATTTCATTTCTGTATTTCACTTGTAGGCTGATGATATTTCTGGGTTTCATGCCAATACTCATATTCCAGTTGTTATTGGATCTCAAATGCGATATGAAGTTACTGGTGATTCACTTTATAAGGTAAACAGCTGTTATTTATTTTCAATATCAGTCTTCACGGCATCTGCGCTGCAATAATTAACAAAAGTTGTTGTTTGATTGGAGTTTTCTTATATTAAGTGCATGTGCAGTAGTTTTCTCAGTAAAGTTTTAAAATTTTGCCATGATCATTATTAAAATGCTGTTTTCCCAGGAAATAGGAACTTTCTTCATGGATATTGTCAATTCTTCTCACAGCTATGCAACAGGAGGCACTTCAGTCAGTGAGTTTTGGTACAAACACTTGACATTTTGAATGTACATAATACATACATCTTAGCTACTAGTTGTGGGTTCAAATGCTATGTGTTTGTAAATTTACATTAAAAATTTTGGATGGTTTGCTGAATGAGGAAAACCATTTAGTAGTTTTGGGCAATTTGATGAATGAGAAAAACCATTTAGCAGTTATTGATGTGGAGGGCATTCTTGGAAAGAGAAACAAAAAATAAAAAAGACATAATCTTTCACACCAAATGGGGTGCATGCTTTATATAATATAATAGATAAATACATTCCTTTGTCATCTCACCTTAATTGTCCATTTGCTGGCAATATGCATACAACTAGTGAAAAGTTTTTATGTCCACCCTATTGCTGGTTTCCTTAAATGTTTATCTTTATCCTGAACTGTGTTGTTGTCCTTTCTCAACCTATGTGCAGGTCCGACCCAAGGCGACTAGCAAACACTTTAGTAACTGAGAATGAAGAATCCTGTACAACTTATAATATGCTAAAGGTATGCCAATTACTTTTTAATTTTTGGGTGAGAACTGGAAACAAGGTTTCTATTTATTCTAGGAGTTGAATCTATTATATTAAAACAATGCACCAAATGGAAGAATTTTTCTTCCACATCTAGATTTTGCAATAATTATGGTGAATTTTTTGATTTTTTTTTTAAAAAAAAAACTTTTTAGATCCTTCTAGACTACAAAGACCTAAAATGTAAGAAGGTAATAATAATAATAATAAATTTTTTTAAAAAAAACTAAGACAAAAAAAGTTCTGGAAAATTTTGATTTTTTGCATTTTGCTGAACATGATGGATTCTATTAAAAAACTGGCTTTCTTTTGCCAAAACCAAACAAAGCCTAAGAGTTTTGTGTTGTAGGTCTCCCGCAACTTGTTTAGATGGACCAAAGAAATGGCATATGCAGATTATTACGAGAGGGCCCTGACGAATGGTGTGCTGGGCATCCAAAGAGGAAAGGAGCCTGGAGTGATGATCTACATGCTTCCACTAGGCCGTGGAAATTCCAAGGCCATAAGCTACCATGGATGGGGAACACAGTTCAATTCTTTTTGGTGCTGCTATGGGACAGGTATGGTATTTAATTTAAATAATTATTTTTTTCCTCTATATTTTCCCAGAAAATGTAAACAATCTTTGGTTCTTTCATAAGAAAATCCAAATTCTGAAGAAACCTAACTGCATCATGAAACCTTAGAAATTTCTAGTCGCTTGGTTGTTTCTTATTTCTAATGTTTACTTGTGGATCTTTTTGTTTTTGTTTTTGTTTTTTTTCCCTTTGGTGTTCAATCCTATCAATGTGATGGTTCATTTTTCATGACTTCTTTAGGAATTGAGTCTTTCTCAAAACTGGGAGATTCAATATACTTCGAAGAAGCGGGCGAAGTTGCAGGGCTTTACATCATCCAGTACATATCAAGCTCACTTAATTGGAAATCTGGACAGATTTCGCTAAATCAGAAAGTAGAGCCTGTTGTTGCATCGAATAATCTCCTTCAAGTGACATTGACAATTTCATCATCAGAGGTAAATTTTAGCTACTGTATATATATACATGTATATATTAAGCCATTAGTTGCAGGAAACTTTTACCGGGGCAACGTTGCAGCTCTAGAACCCCAATTATGTGGTTCAGAGTAAGAATTTTGTTTGTACCTCGTTCCCGTCGAGATAGAATTCAATTTCAACTGGGATGGGACCACTCAAACATATGCATTTGGTTCTCTTCTTAGGAATTAAAGGATTGAGATTTTTTTTATGGATATTTCAGTTTGGACTTGTGAGGATTGAAGAGTAAAGATATATGTTATTGGTGATGAATTGTTATTTTTGTAATAAGAATTTACTAATTTATTTACTATATTTATGAGTTTAAGTATAATGTAGACATTTAACATAAATAATACAACTAAGCAACAAAAACAATTTTTTATTTATTTATAATATATTAATATGTAAAATACATAAACACTCTTCCTGGGCACTGCAAACCTTGAACTCTTCTGTTGGCCCCTGCTCCCTCACCCCCGCTTTGTGCAACCAAGAGTCATATGATACAAATTTCTCTGGACTTTGCAACCAAAAGAGCTTTGTTAAGATCTTATTTGCATTAATATTATTTTGGGTAAAATTATATTTTTCACCATTCAACTTTCATCTGAATTTTACTTTAGTCCCTAGCAAAGTTCTGCTTTTATGCAGGGAGGGGCAGGTCTGACATCCACCTTGCATTTGCGTGTACCGTTCTGGACATACTCAAATGGTGCAAAGGCAGTATTAAACGGTCAGGATTTGTCACTTCCAACTCCAGGTGTGAACTCTCTCTCTCTCTCTCTCTCTCTCTCTCTCTCTTCACCTCCTTACTGAATTTCCGCCTACTGTCAAATTTGCAAACCATGGAGTTAATAATTTCCTCCTGATGATGCAGGTAACTTCTTATCAGTCACTAGAAAATGGGGCCCTGGTGACAAAATAACTCTTGAACTGCCGATAGGTCTACGGACCGAAGTCATTAAAGGTATTGCAGTGCTCTCATAATATTATTAAGAAGGTCCACAGGACTCCTAGACTACAACCCGGATGAATATATATATATATATTAGCTGTGGTTTTTACATTTAAATTTTTGGATTGTTTGATAAATAAGGAAAACTGTTTTGCATATATTGAATGTGGCAGTTATTAGAAGTGGGGGGCATTTTTGGAAAAAGAAGAGGCATGACAGTGTTCACCCCAAATTGGGTGTATGCTTTATATAATAGAATAGATAGATATATATATATATATAAGCTAAGGCTTTTCTATCTTATTAGTAAACCCTAAATGCCCTTATTGAAAACTAAAACCCTAACAAGCAAGAAAGCGAGCACAGGTTGGAGGGAGGACCTGTTGGTCAAAGGAAAGGGGGATCCTTATTCCAAGAGCGCCTTTCTCTCCTTCCTTCATATGTAGCTCCTCCTGTATTGCACAACCCTTTTGTCAACACTGCCTTACAAAAGGTCTAGCTCCCATTTCATTCCTAGGTTTGAAGAGTAGATATGATGGAAGCTGTCAAATGAGCTCAAATGAAACCACCGTTTCGTTTTAAGTTGATTCAAGAAAAAAAAAAAAAAAAACTCTTGATAAATGAATACCCGCGCATGTCAATCCCAAGGGAAACAAGGAACCATAGGATTTCCTTTTTCTGAATTATTTTCCCGGTTAGAACTTGTTTATGATATATACACATATAGCATTTTCCATGTTAGGAAATAACTGATGAATTGTTTTGATGAAACTTTAGATGACCGGCCAAAGTACTCTTCGATTCACGCAATTCTTTATGGGCCCTACCTACTTGCCGGTCTGACAAGCGGAGACTGGGACATCAAAACAGAGTCAACTGCTTCCCTCTCAGACTTTATTACTCCAATTCCAGCAGTTTACAATTCTCATCTGATTTCTCTCTCCCAAGAATCTGGAAACTCAACATTCGTCCTCACAAACTCGAACCGGTCAATCACAATTGAGAAGTTTCCTAAACCCGGTACTGATTCTTCCATCCGATCCACATTTAGACTCATCCTAAAAGACGCAAATTCCACTGAAGAATTTTCAAATCCAAAAGATGCTATTGGGAAATTTGTCATGCTCGAACCGTTCGATTTTCCCGGTATGCTCTTGACGCATCAAGGAATAGATGAAACCCTTGGAGTTGCAGATTCTGCTGACAGCGGCTCGGTTTTCCGTTTGGTTGCTGGATTGGACGGGAAGGTGGAGACGGTTTCGTTAGAGTCAGAAAGCCAGGAGGGTTGCTTTGTGTATAGCGACGTGGACTATAAATCAGGTACAAGCATCAAGCTGAGCTGCATATCTGGATCATCTGATAATGGATTTGAAGGGGCAGCTAGCTTTATAATGAAAGATGGGATTAGCAAGTATCATCCGATCAGTTTTGTGGGAAAAGGGGTGAGAAGGAATTTTATTCTACATCCATTACATAGCTTGTGGGATGAATCTTATACTGTGTATTTTAACTTCATTTAATCTTGAAAACTATTGAAGGTGAGTAGTAAGGGAGAAGTAGAGTAGAGCAATTGTGGAACAATAATTTCTTCTTTCATTTTGCTGCTATTTAATAATTTTATTTTACATTTTACTTCTGCAGACCCCTCTCTCTCTCTCTCTCTCTCTCTCCTGTTTTTGTCTCTCCAAAAACTCAGCAGTGTTTTATTAATTTTTGAGATGTTACTGGCCTTAACCGAAGGGTTAATTACACTTCACCCTATCAGTTATTATCGAATATCACCCTTACTCTCTTCAACGTTAAAATCATACCTTTAAACTCCTCAATTATCAAAATTGTTTCACATGTAGATTGTTTTGATTAACTGGGCTACCCAACAACTGAGGACATATTTGATTAACTGGCATACTGCAAATAATAAATAAATAAATTCAATGCCCAAAAAAAAAAAGCAACTCCAATGAAACTACTAGGTTCAAAAAAAAAAAAAAAAAAAAACTCCAATGAAACTACTAGGGCATTTGCTTCAATTTGAATTTGATCAATATAATGTCTACAAATTACTTTCTAAAAAAACCTTCTCCAACATTAAAAAAAAAAAACACACAACAACAACAACAACAATAGCAAGAGATCAAACAGGGTCGAGCAATCAGAGAATTAACAATTGAATCAGCCAGGAGGGGTTTCAATAACAATCGAACAACAGTAGGCTCCATTTGTTTCCAATTAATATATATATATATATATATATTAAAAAAACATCTAAAATCCAGCTTAAAAAAAATAGACTATTTGAGTTTTTTATGCTGAAAACCCAAAAAGAAGAACCAAACCCCCTGTTTTAGAAGTGCACTGTTTAACCACATTAAATCAAATTTTAAGCTAAATAAGCTGCAAAACAAAAAAACAAAAAAATAAATAAAAATTAAACAAACAGGGCATATCTAAGTCTAACCCAGATGAATAACAAATTGTCCTGGAAAGCCAAACTAAACAGGACAGCAATAATCAAGATATTGCGATTAATAGTAGTCACTGACATAAAACACTATCTAGCCCAGATGGGACAGTGGAGGATCAATTCGAACATCAAAGGCGAAGAAAGTGCAGGACCAAAACCTCTTGCACTGTAAAACTAAGACAATGGCTCTTAATATAAAGTTATCCTAGGAAAGCAATCTAAGAGGTAGTGAAAAGCTTTAGTTGAAGCCTTACCAGGAGACCAGACAACACGGAGACTTCATTGGCAACTTCAATTAAATTCCAAGTGCTAAAGACCTGCAGGGAAAAGCTGGTTAAAAGGATCATTGCCATTCGAGTACGAACAAGTCACCCAATTGCATCCACTAAGAAAATGGTAAATCAGTGATGATCATCCTTGTGCCAACTGTCTCTGCATGTGGGTCAGCAAGTTGGGACAGAAACATACAATTGTGTAAAATCTATTTTTGTCATTTGGGAATATTCACACCCCTCAACAAAATCATAAAAGCTCTCAAGTATGACGTGGTATGATATTCCATCCAGCCCCACCATTTCCCAGATCAACCCTACTCAAATCAACGGAAATTAAGGCCAAAAATATGAGAAACAAAAGAAAGCAAAAATAAATTGGATAAGAATAGGTGCATATGAAGCATAAAAGCAGAAGTTACCATTTCCTTTGTTAACTATTGTTTCTAATTTACAAAGGCAAAAGAAAAAAAATAACAACAAAAAGAAAGGAACTGATCCATTCTGCTATAACCAGCCAGCGTCCACAAAATAAAGTTCAAGCTAATGCGGAAGCCTAGAGTCATGAACATGTGTAGAAGCTACATTATGAAACTGTGTTGATGCCACATTATGAAACATGGTTGGCACTACATTATGCAAATGTGCTGGCACAAGATCATGTAATTGTGTTGGCCTCAACGAAGAGAGTTCCTGCCACAAGCAAAATAAAACATTGGGATTATAAGCAATACATGCCATTATCAAGCATAACTAAACAATGTGAGAATGTAGCTCAAAATTTTAATTCTACCCATTACAGAAAGGACTAGTTAATGACTGAAGAAGTTTAATCTGTTCCACTATCATTGCCACATTGATTTAATTTGATAAACAAACTTATCAGAATCAAACCCAAACAACTTTATTTTTTCCGTTTATAGACGGTATGTTATTGGCGTGGGAGCAGAGTATTCACTGCTGTACTGAATTATGTTGAAAGGTGCCCATGTAACAATCAGTTTGACGCTACTCCCCCAAACATGTAGTACCATTTCATATCACACATATTTACATATTAGCTAGAATTCCAAACCAAACTACATTAAAAATGCACTATGGTTATACTGCTGACATGCAATATCATCTGCCTCATACAAAAAATTTCTCAACAGCCTAAGTAAGCACTTGGGTTGGTGACCTTCAACTTAATCTGTATCAATGGCAAGGTAAAGGTTTCAAGAAACATAATCTCTTATCTTGTGATAGCATATTTAGTTAGACAACCAAAGTGATTTTTTGAATACATTCTATTTAGATTCACTAGAATTAGAATGAATGTACAGAATCAAAGTAGGGTTCAAACATGCACATGCCCCAATAAAACAAATCTGAACTTAAATGAAAGAAGAACAAACCATTTGGTGAAAGCCTCCTTGTGTCCCAACATTATCAACATTGTCCAGTTCGAAAGATACCTAAAATGTTAATAAGCATAAAATTTATCTTTTGTTTTTTATGATTCTGAAAAGTTTTAAAAGTAAAACAAATAACATGGATCAATCAATCAACCATCAACATCACTAACCTTCTTTCGTTTATTTTCATCATTTGCCTTCTCTTTCCCAGCCTCCACTCTCTTAGAAGCCTTGTTTGATTTCGTCATTTTCAGATTAGGTGTCTGCTCTTTACATGTAGCGCTACCTTGATTATCCTCCTCACTGCCATGAATTGCAAGTGGCACTGAGGTGCTCAGTCTCAAATCATTCTCAGTAGAGTTATTAACACTTGCACATTGCTTCAGTGCTTCTTTTATGGCCCCTAGTGCAATATTGTAACTCTCTTGAGAAAGTGACCCTTCTTCACCCAAAATTATAGCTCGTCGACATAGATCATTGTAATGACGAACCTTACATTGTATGTCATCCAATCTCTCGCTAATTGCATGCCTGCTTGTAGCAGCATTTGTCCATCTTTGCAGTATATATTTAAATGGGATGCTGAAAACACCAGACATTTGGAGAACCACAATAGCATGTCGACAGAGATAACCATTATATTCAAACAAACGGCATGAACAACAAATATTTGATTTTGATTCATTCCATTCCACTATGAAATCTTGATTATCTTCCAAGTCTGTAACAGCATATGTAATTGTAGCCTCATCTTCTTTTTCTTTGTTGAGATGACATGCAGCTGCTCCCAAAACCTCGACTTGAAACTTCTTGAAAATTTCATGAGTATATACTAGTGACATTTGTTTTTCAAAAGGTGAAGGAGACTTCAATTCCGGAGTTTCATGCCATGCATCAAAATCTGCCTTGGCTTCTTCTTCATACCTATCTTCGAGGATCACTTTGTATCGTTCAATAAAGCCTCTCAAATTAGTTTCTCCATGGACATACTTGTCAAAAAAAGAGCTCAAACTTTCAGATCGTGAGGCTGTAGACAGTCCAGCAAAAGATATATCTCTCATGAAAGTGGGCACCCATAGTTTACGATCTTCATACAAGGATTGCATCCATTCACCCTCTCTAAGATTGAATCCGTCAAGCAATTTCCACCATCTCTTTTCAAATTGTTCTTCGGTCCATGACCTAAGTATGCATTTATTAAATTTTTCCATAAAGGTATCATGCCAAGGACACAAATAATTGAGTTGTTGAGGGATCTTTTCCACTACATGCCACAGGGAGAAACAATGCCGTGAGTCTGGAAGGACTGCTGCAACTGCTGCTTTTAAGGCATTATTTTGGTCAGTTAGTATCACTCGTGGAGCTCGCCCCCCCATTGATAAACACCATGTTTGTAATAGCCAAACATATGTGTATACCGTCTCATCTGCAATCAATGCACAACCAAGCAACGTGGGCTGAATGTGATGGTTCACCCCAACAAATAGAACTAATGGTATCTTATACTTGTTCGTGACATAGGTAGTATCAAAAGAAACAACATCGCCAAAGTTAGTATAATCATCCATGCCTTTGGCATCAACCCAAAACACATTCCTCAATCGATGTTCTTCATTTAAGTCTACAGCATAGAAGAATTTAGGGTTCTCTTCCTGCATATGAACAAAAAGTTCAAGCAACACTTGAGCATCTCCCTCTTCTAAAGTCAAATTGCGCCCTTTATCATGCTGATTTCGGATGTAGTTCTCCAAAGAACCAGTATATTGATATGCACTGTACTGTTTGGACACCGCAGCCAAGATCTTCTTTCTTCGTATTTTAGAATCATTGTTAAGTAGATCAACATTCCTATGGCTCCGGAACAAATGTGCTTGAGCTGGTAGAAGATCGTGATTATGCTCTTTTACAAAACTATGAATATACCATTTTCCATTTGGCCTTCTCTTTACATGCATGCTTGCTTTACAACCTATCTTTGGTGAAGGTCGTGGATTAATAGCATCATCAGACTGTTGCTTGTTTCCGTATCTAATGCATGAAAATTTTGCATCAATAAATTCCTTTGATGCCCTTGAACGACGACTGCTCAATTTGGCAGTACCAAAACCAACAGACTTGGCATATTCTTTATAGTATGCATATGCTGCCTCATTTGATTCAAATTCCATATCATCTTGAGGCTCTAAGTTTATATTCCCAGTGATGACATTGGAATCCATTGCTTAGGAGGGAAAACAAACACTCACCAGGAATCCACTATACACTTCGCCTCAAAATTATGTTCACTTTTGGCTTACTGCATTTCATATAACTTTCCTACATAACATTCAGTATCCCCACTGGTGTAAGAAATTATTTTTGTCTCAACAATTCCATCACTGTCTTACCTAAAATTTGAGGAAAACAAGAAAGGGGTTATGAATAAAATTCAACATTCACCACAAATGATGATTGCAAAAAAAAGTTCAGAATCACAACCTGATTCTAAAAGATAGAGATTCTTAACAAATTGAGACAAAATGTGCCAATTCTTACATGACAACATTTGTTTATTAAAAACCTAAAATTATTATCTCTCAAATTAGAGAGAGACTGGAAATACAAGAATTGAGACAAAAGATTAACAATACAACATATCAAACTATATGCAGTCACATAGCATACCTAAGAATTTTTTAGATTGTCTCGAGTCTTAAAATTAATCTAAATAAAAATAGCATTGTGGGAATTAACATTCAACAAGACAACTACAAGGGTTGGAGGGGTTCTAGGTTGCCCCATTGAGATATTTCTAATTAAGTATTTGGGACTCCCATTGGGGATAACCATCAAGCAGAGTCTTTTTGGGCCTGTGGTGGAAAAGATCGGTAAGAGGTCCGAAGGTTGGAAAAAGCCTTGTTTTCTAGAGGAGGTAGGTTCACTTTGGTGCAGTCCATGTTATGTAGCATTCCCATTTATTATTTGGTGAATTGGGAAATTATTTCTCTCCCAAAAGAGAAAAAGGGTCTTGCCACTGGAAACATAGTGGCAAAGAATATTGCATTACTAGGGAAGTGATTATGGAGATTTCCCTTAGGATAATTCATTATAGCATTCAATTATTAGAGTAAATATGGGGTTCAAGCAAATGGTAGGGATCTTTCTGTGGTTAATAGGTGGAAATCTATATCTAAAGTCTTTCCTCTTTTTTCTAGATTCCTTTCATTGAAAGCAAGATTTTAAGCAACGGTGACGGCCACTGTAACAGTAACGGTGGCGATGACGTGGTTGTAGAAAGTAATGGTTGCAGCGTAACGATGGCAGCAACCAGAGCCATGGATTTTTTATTTCTTCACACAAATTCAATAAAACTTACCGATACGCATGTTTTTATTTCATAATCACATTTATTGAGATTCAAAATGAAGTTTATTTAATACTAAAATGATAGTCTCTTGAAAATAAGTTCATAATCTTAAAATGCTAGCAACCATAATAGGTGGCAGCTATGAAGCACGGACACGGACAAGGGACACAACACGGATACGCAGACATGCACCATTTCAAAAAATAGGGGACACGACAAGCTAGGAACACGCTCAATATATATAATTTTTTTTATTTATTATATGTGAAATTAAAAATATATATATATATATTATAAGTATTTATTTATTTACTTTAATATCAAATATCATTCACAAATTAATTTTTTCTATAAATAAAAATAATTTATTCTATGTATGTTAATGTTTAACAAACAAGAATATCCAAAACAAACAAACAAACAAAAAAAGGAAAGAAGGGAAAAAAAGTTTTTGTTGCCAAAAAAAAAGGTACTATAAAAAAATGATTCATTAATCAGAGAGAGAGGAAAAAAAAGAAAAGAAAAAATGAATAGAACAGAGAGAGAGTCAAACACGCAAAAGAGAGAGATGAACAGACACAAAGAAAGAGAAAGAGTCGAACAGACAAAGAGAAAACAAAAGAGAAAGAGTCAAACACACAGCGAGAGAGAGAGAGAGAGACGAACAGAAGAAACGATGAAAGGAGAAGAAAAACGAAGAAAAGAAGTAGAACAAAGAACAGGTTCTTCTTCAAAGATCGAAGAAGCATACCTCAATCTAGCCTCGATCTAGAGCTTCAACGGGTTCTTCTTCACCCTTTCTCTTTCTCTCTCTTTATCTTCAATGGGTTAGGGTTTCTCTCTCTCTCTATCTCCAACGAGTCCATAACATGTCCAAGAGTGTCCCAAACGTGTTTGACTGCAAAAATTCAAAAAAAAAAAAAAAGGATATACGCTAGGTAGCATGTCCGACATGTGTCCACCGTGTGTCGGATGCATATCCGTATCCGACACGTGTCGGAGGCCTATACACTGCCTCTGGAGAAGTGTCCATGCTTTGTAGGGTGGCGGTAACCCCCGAAACGTAAGTACGTTCAATTTTTGCAAGATGTTTGGATGGTGACTCTCCATTCAATATATTGTTTTCACATTTGTATCGATTGGCACATTCTCATTATGTTTCCATGGTGTCTATGACTCAATTCTTTTTTAGCTTTGAATTTTAGGGACATCAATTTTTTTAGAAATCTCAATGATCTTGTGACTCTTGAGTTGATCTTTGACGGCCAAACTTGATGACTTCTCCTTGAGACCGAATGTCAATGACAAGTGGGTGTGGTTTTTTGTTCTTCAGGAATCTTTTCAAATAAATCATTTTTTGACAAAATCATAGATTATCCCATTGGTTTTCTCTTGTCTTTCAATTTAAAAGAATTTCAAAACTGGTTGTGCCTCTAAAAGTTAAGATTTTCAAGTGGACTTTGGTTCATAGGAGTATCATGATTAATGACTCTTTTAAAAAAAGGAGACCTAATTGCAATCTTTGTCCTCAATGGTGTATCATGTATAAGAGAAATGAGGAATCGTCAGATCATTTATTCCATCATTGTCACGTCGTTTCAGGTTTTTGACATCACTTTTTTTGGTTGGCGGGTGTTTTTTGGGTGGCTCCGACTACTTGTGCCCAAATGCTTTGGATCGACTTTTGGGGTTTTGGTTGTAACAAGAAAGTGATTTTCTCTTTTCTGAGTGGTGTGGTTGGAACAAAATGCTAGGATTTTTTTAACACAAATTCAAGAATAGAGAGTCGTTATGGGAAAGAATTTGTAGGCTGCCACCTTTTGGCATCCATTTCCTCTCCAGTTAAAGGGATTCCTTTTTGACATTGGGGTGTGGCCCAATGGTCTTGTAGCCATAACTTTGGGTGTGGTGAGTCAGGGATTCAAGCTAATGGAGCACGACAAACTCTCCAGTTGTAATCTAATTACACTAACATACTAACGCTATTTTTGACAAAATAAATAAATAATAAGAGGATTCCTTTCTTTTTTATTTCTACATATTGGAGACCAGTGTGTGATGTGTAGTTTTGAGGGCATTGCACCTTTTGTCAGGAATTTCAGCAGAATTTAAGAATTTAACAAAAAAGCATAATTAACAATTAGTTGCAATATAATTTCACTCCCAAAACAAAAAACAAAAAAACAAGGGCAATCTTTAAGGTGGAAATTTTGGAGCAAAAGTACTTGAAAAAAAAAAAAAAAGATCACATAACAACGACATTTCAAACAGAGAAAATATCCAGAGAATTTCATGTCAGAAAAAATCCAACGAAGATTGGAAATTTTGGAGCAAATTTCAAAACCCTACCTCCCTCTGCTGCTCTATATATGTAGCTTGGCCAAAAAAAACTTCCTCGGTTCTTCCGGTGAATTCAATGACGATCATTGGTTGATGTGCCTCTCTGGAGAGTAATGAATCTTATCCGGAGTGCGAATTCGAATCCTCCGGTGAGAATCGTGAGATGGTGAGTCGCTGATTACACACACACACACAGCGCGAAGGAGGGGAAGTGTTGGCGGTGGAGTAGCGGTGGTGAGATGCTCTCCGGACCGTGATTACGGAGAACGGGGGAAACAGAAAGAGATCGTGAAAATCTAAAGGGTGCGTTGGGTGGGTGATGGTGGTGGCTGGCTAGGCGGGTAACCGGGTCGCGCTTTCGGGTTAAAATAGTTGATGAAACGGGTCGAATTTACTTTACTATCAGTTGTGGGTGAACTCAAAAGCAAGCATGTGGTTTACTTTGATGCAAAATGAAAAGTTTGATGTGGTGTGAATTCTCTTCAAAGGGTGGGTTGCATTTGAGAATGTGAACACACGCGTGGTGGTGTGCATGGCTGTTGTCAGCTCGTGTTATAACTCATAAAGTGTTGGGTTCTTTCGTATTAGTTATTATTGTTGAATTTTAAATTCTAATAAATTATGGATGTTAAATTAAAAGAAGATGATAGTGTTATTAAGTCGTTTAATAATTAGTTACAATAATATGATATGAATAATGACACAAGCTAATTGTTTATATCTCGTTAGTTTTAATATATAAATCTTTTATGTCTCATTTTTTTTTATTAATTTATAGCAATGACGTAAATAATAATATAACTTACTCTTTTAATAAATTTAAATCTATACATATTTTACCACACAACACAAACAAAAATAATCTCGGTCAACGACACACTCCCCTTCTCTCTTTCTTTCTTACTCCCTTTATGTGTTCTCTATCTTCTTCTTCTTCTTCTTTTTTTTTTTATTTCTCTTAATTCCATATGTGCACTCTCTCTTTCATCTCTATTAACAAATCCGATAATCATCCAACTACAACAAAGTGATGGTTTTGTGTTACTTGGGAAGCTAAAAATTTTACTTTTTTAACCATTCTCCATTAAATGTGGACTACATCTACGAAATTTCCCAAAATGTCCGGTCTAAGTGCTAAAATATATAGCTAATGTGGTCGTGCCATGGAAGTGTAAAAAGAGCAATTTGATGTGGTTGATGGAACACTGAAAGTTTCGTGAACTTCACCATGGCAACAATATCTTTTTCCCATTGTCTCCCTAACTACCACGCTACTAATAGTCATCACCCATCAAACCCAACATCTTGGATTCCATGTCTAATCTTTACCAATTGCTTGAGTATATATTTATTATTCAAACCACCTTTCATATAGCCGTGTTACCAAAATCAAGAGGCTTGCAACCTCCATTGTTGATGTACACAAGTTGAGCTAGAAGTATAAAATATTTATAAAAGAAAAAAAAATGGAGAAAAAGGTTTGCAATTTGATAGAGATGGTTGGTCAACTAGTTTGGTGAAAGAAAGATAGAGGAGCTAGTGCACTGAAAAATCATACAAAGTCTACAATAGAACCCTGTTTCATGGTGACTCAATTAGTGTTTTGGGAGAATTGGTGGAGAAAAGAAAGATGGGCTAGCAAAGAGAAAGATAGTGTCAAGAAATACATTAAAAAAAAAGGAGGGTAGTAGTTGTGGGCAAATATAAAGGATTGGTCTCGAGGTTTAAGGATATTTTTTTTTTCATGAAATAAAATTAGCTTGGACTTGGACCTCACGTTGTGGTTCTTTGATGAAATTATTTGTTTTGTTTTGTTTTGTTTTGTTTTTTTTTGTTCTTATATTTTATCTATCATTTTCTTTTGACTTTACAAGTATAAAATGAAACACATAATTTGAGCATATTTTAGAACTTATCTATCCCCTACAAGGATTTTGATGAAATGGTACAAATACCGCAAAACATTAATTTTAGTAAGGATCATTAAGAAAAAAGAAAAAGCGAAAAAGAGAGCATATAATTGTGAGCTTTAGCCTCAACAAATTATAGTTCACAACTTCTCACAGATTTTATGAAATCATATATTTGAATTAGCCAAATCAAGGCCTGCTTTTGAATGGGCATGTTGTTCCTTGTTACTAGAGTATCGCTATTACACATTACAACAATTTATATTTTTGGCGATTAAATTTGACAATTAAAAGGAACTTAGTCGCCAAAAGTGCAGTTTTTGGCAACTAAAAATGATATTGGTTGGAGTTGGTTTAGAGTTTAGCTACTAAACTATTTTAGTCAAGGAATATTATTTATTGGCGACTAAAAAAAATTTAACTGCTAAATATTCCACAATAGGCGACTAAAAAAAATATTAGTCGTCGTCAGTCTAGTTTTTAGGCTACTGAAGTTTGTTTTAGTTGTGATGTACTAAATTTTGCCAACTAAAAAAAATTCAGTTGCCAAATAACATCCATAATTTTACTGTTAAATATTTAGTAAAATTTTGATTAAAAATCCATTTTTTTATCTTAGCTAGTCACATTTACACTCCCACAACTCTTTTTTTTTTTCATTCTATTTCTTAATTCTCACTTTATTTTTTCCAACTCCATGTTTAATATTAAAGAAAGAGGGGTTATATTATCGTTGTCCGATATTTTATAAGAATGATAAGATGATTATATTAATTTACTTATGAGAAAATTGCAAATAAATTATGAGGGAAAAGAGAGAGAGAGAGAGAGAGAGGGATTAAAAATATATGCAAATAAATAAAAATGTTACTAAAAGGTAGCTAATATGTGGAATTTACTTTATTGAGAATTAAATTGAAATAAAAGGTCCTTCATTTTTTTTCTAATTTACAAAATTGTCTATTTTTTTTCCCTCTTATTCCCCTTTCTTTTTGCTTTTTTTTTTTGGTAGTCAATCACGGACTATTGACCACCACTCTCCCACCGTCTCCAACCCATCCTCTACCTTTTCCGCCCTCCAATTGGCTTTACCATCATTGCCATCATTCTTTGTTGTCTCAAATCTCTCGCTATAGCTACCATTATTGACATTCCTTTATATTATTTTCATTGATTTTTTGACCACTCTACATCAGACAACCCTTTCACCAGAAACTAGCCATTGCAACCACTATACATCTCACTAACCTCTCATTGTCATAACTCAAAACCCCAAATTCTAGGGACTCCTTTGGCAAAAATTAAAAAAGCTAGCTATTTGGTTTTTTAGTTTTTTTTAACTAAAAAAGTCAGTTTTTTTGTTAAAAAAGTTACTAAAAAAATTAAAAAGTCAAAGAGTCAGTTTTTTACCAACTTCTCAAAACACCCTTACTATTGTGAAAGAAAATTCAATTGCAAGTATGATGCCTCCGTTTGAGAAGTGGGTTGACTTTTTGATTTTTTTGTTTTTTTTGGCTATTTTAGCTTGGGTTAAAAAACTTGATTTGGAAAGGACTTTTTGACTTTTTGACTTTTTTGACTTTTTTTGTGAGAGAATAGTGTAATGATTATGGGTTGAATGTGATATTTTATTTTTTGTGACTAAAATAGCATATTTTGTCTTCTGTGATTAAAATAGTCAAAAAAGTCCCAAATAACTCTTCCCAAACGGAGCCGATATTTACTCAATACAAATGGAATATAAAGGGAAAATTACAAATACACAGGATAGCCATAAAATAATTATATTATAAATGAGTATTTTTTTTTGTACAACTTTAACACAGAGTAAAAGTTGCATCAAGCAAAAAAAAAATAGTAATAATTTACACTATGCATATAGAAGAGTTGCATTATTATAAAAATGTAATTTTTTTTTTATCACTGCTCCGATGAAATGCAATTGTTTTAAATATATATGGGTGTAAGTGTAATTTATAACCCATAAATTGTAAAGGTGAAGTGAAAATTTCTTAAGGTTACTCCAAAACTAAAAGAATGACTTGTACATGTAATCATACTGTGTGATGAAAAATATACGCTCACATAAAAGTTCTCATCACACAATAGCTTAATAATATTTACATTGACCGATTACTGTTCCACAACAATTTCATAGTTGGTAAGTTATAACCATTAAATTTCAAATAATTTTCAAATACAACGGCTAGCAAAATGCCAACTAAATTTTTGAGCTGAACAGACTACACGTGTCACAATCCCAGTTGTGCTTCAACGGTTCACATAGAAATAAAATATTTTTCCTATTTCCCTCTCGAATACAAATTTGAATACACACAGGCCCTGTTTAACAAAATAAATAAATAAATAAATCAATTCAATACAAATAAACTCACTTCAATCACGCCCACTGTTTCCCTTCCCCTCTCTCTCTCTCTGTGTGTGTGTGTCCATGGATGAAGAAGAGCCGGAGAGCGGCTTCGGGGCTGCTTTTGCGGCGCCATCTATCGTCACTCTGACGCCATTCTCGCCTTCAGTCTCTCCCTCCCCGCGCCGGCTCTCGAGCCATTTTATAAGGCCGAATCGGCCCGTGAGAGCAGCGAGACAGCTTGCATGGGTGTCTCTCCAGGGTCGGCTGGTCGGCGCCGAAGAAGCCAGCTCGGCTAGAACCATAGGCGGTGGATTGAGCCCAGCGGAAGCAGTTTCTTGGGAGCTATTTAGCCCCATTCATCGGATTCTCGTAGTGGCGGTTGTCGCCGTTGCGGCCGCAAATTCAAAGAAGAACAAGCAGATTTGTCAGCTCAGAAAATCTGTTCAACTCAGGGTTAGTAATTTAAGTGTTTTGTGATTAATTTTTATTTATTGTTAAGTTTGTGCAAATTAGGGTTTGGGTTTTGTTTAATACATCTGTTGTTATTAATTAATAGTTTTGGCATTGATCATTTAGAGTTTTACACATCCAATTAAGAATACAAAACATTAGATTATCCAATTAGGTACTTTGATACAACACTAATTAATCATTTTGTGGTTTTGATTCTGGGCTGTATTTAATGTGTATGTAATTAGACTTTCCTTTACTTTGTCCACTTTTTCAGTTTAGAGTTTAATTGGGGGGGGAAAAAAAAAGTCTTTTTAATTATTGTTTTTTGGTAAATTTTAATTATTCAATTTAGTTACCTTTCCTTTCTAATTTTCAATTTTGATTTTCTAAAACTAAGGGTTTGTAATTAGACTTTCCATTACTTTGTCCACATTTTCAGCTTAGATTTTAATTGGGGAAAAAAAAAAGAAGTCCTTTTAATTGTTGTTTTTAGGTAAATTTTAATTTTGATTTTATAGAACTAAGGGTTTGCACAGAAAGATTTTCTTTACATGGGTATTCTTCAGTCCTTTTGATTCTTCTTTAACTAGCATAGGTAATATGCTATGGCCACGGCTATAAATAAATAATCAAAATTTATTTTTTAAAATTAAATAATAATATAAAATTTACCTAAAATATGTAGTAAAAATGATTTATAATCAATTAAATACATGTCATAATTTAATTAATAAAAATTAAATAATAAATTACAAAAGTTATATTTATGATAAAATATAAATACATTTTGTTTTATAAGTTTTGTAATTTTAGTTTACCATATGATAGTAGTAAATTTCAATTGTTAATATACTAATGTTTTAGTATTTTCATTATTAAAAAGATTAAAATTAAAAAAAAAATTAGTTGAGAGTTTGAACCTTAAAAAAACCCTATTGAATTGTAATTATATATAATATAGACATAGATTATTTAAAATTGAAAAATGTAAGTTACTCAATCATAATATATGTAAATCCCTACATATATATAACCGTTTAGTGTGTATGAAAATAATGAGTTCTGATATGTCCGTTAAGTAATAATGGCCATGGTGGAAAAAAAATATGTTGCCAAATTTTAATTATATAAATCATTTTATACTTTATGGTGAAGAATTCAAAATATTTTCTGAACAAAAAATATTTTACGGAGAAATATTTTTTGAGTGTGTGATTTATTAATTATTATTTTTTACTTGGAAAACTCTTCGAGTGTATGATTTATTAATTATTATTTTTTAATTAGAAAACTCTTTGTTTGTTTGATTGCAAGGAAGGAATGCTTTTAGGAATGAAAAAAGCATTCTTTGTTTAAAAAAGAAAGTGTTTGAGTGTGTGATTTATTAATTTTTTTTTAAAATTGAAGATCAAGAAATTTAGATTGAACACTTGGAACTCTCATATTTCTTCTCACTAAAAACCCCATTTTGCTTATATAATATATATAGATAGATAGATAGATTGGGTCTTGTTTTATTTATTTATTTGTGAAATACATTTTTATTCATGTCCTAGTTTCTTTTTTTTTTCTTCTAATTCTTCAAAGAACTTTTTTGAACTCTGGTCATTATGGTCAGTGAATTAAAATGAATTCTAAACCAAAAGAAATGGAATTATGAGCAGTTATTATATCTTTGAATAAGCTGTCACTGAACTTAGTTATATTCTGTAAATTATTTTCAGGATCAGGTGCTTTTAAGCATGCAACAGAAGCTCGATAATTTATGTGAGCAAGTGAATTATATTAAAGATCAGCCAGGGACATGGGCCGACATCTCGTTTCCCAAAAATGTTGAATTCCTGTTTAATGAACCATTTGGCTCTGAAAAAGCTAAATCTGTTGGCTGTGGCTGTCAGCTTTGTGATCAGCATCAGACTCCATTCAAAAATGATCCAACGGTGTGAACATATTTTTGTATCACTTACCTTCCCTTGAGTTGTTGGTATTTGAGCTGATTGCCAAAGATGTGAAGCCTAAAATTGGGTGCTTACTTTATTGTATTGTGCTATTAGGATATTTCTGTGGTCAAAGCTTCAAGTGGTGATGACAAGTACAAAATACCTTGCTCTAAAATGGCAGAACCAGAAACATCCAATTAAGAATACGATTTGTCGGATTGGGGTTCCAGTGTCACTTCTTCTGTTGATATACAGGTAATAGAATAAGTTTTACTTAAAATTTTAGTTGCACATGCAAATTGCATTACCAAATAAGCCTTTCAGTTGAGCTTTATATATTAGCAGTTTGGTTTTGGTAAACTATTTGCAAGCTTGTCATCATCAACATCTCATTCAGGTTGAGCCATTTTTTTTTGTCTGATGTGTGTTGGCTTTTGGGATGCGAGCTCTGATTATCTCAATCCTTTAAAAACAAACCTCCATCCTAGTACTAGAAAGTCTCAGTACATTTTTCACAATTGGAACCCATATATAGTAAACTAATTTGGTAGCTCATCTACCATTCATTTCTTTTATTCTCTTTATCATTCTTTTGTTCTGTACAAATTCCCATTAAAACATTTTTCACCTACCTAGTTCCGGACCAATTTTGTAATCTTTTAAAAATATTAGGAGGAATTTACCTGATTCTGCTCTTATTAGTGATCTTAAAGAAGCATCACCCTTTCTTTCAAACAAGAATTGGTGGTCTATGGAAAAAAGGGCAATATAAAATTGCATACTTACTTGGGTATACTTAATTTTAATCACTTTTGCTTTTATTGTAGAATTTGCTTTAATATTATAGCAGTGCTAAAACATCTCGAGTGCAAAAAAAAAAAAAAAACTGTCTGCATCTTTTCATTTCTTTATGATTTGTGAGAAAACGGGCTTGTGGCTCATCAACATTTGGCGCATATTGACACAATGTGAAATACGCTCGTTTTCACATACACCACAAACAACTTTCAGACATGAAAGACATTTTAAACTATTTTGGTGGTGGTCGAATTAGCAAACTGGAGAGAAGAAAGTAAATTACTAAACACCTAATTCAGTTTTTGAGACAAATGCTGCATTGTGACTCTTTCACAGCTAAACACACTGGCAATTGAACAAGATATCTATAATCTCAAGAAGGAATGTGAAGAAAAGGATGCAACCATAAAGGAGCTATCCACTTTTCTCCACTCATCCGAAGTTTCTGGCTCTAAGGTAATACTTCCCTTATCTTTATGTGCATTTCTTCATTAAAGAACTTTTATTGTTTGATTAAACTGATCATGTTTTTATTTTTCACTTGCTAACAGAGGATTACAGAGTTGGAAGACATTGTCCGCAGAAAGAACATGAGAATTACAAAACTTAAGAAGGACATGTTGGTCCTTGAACAGAAGGTGAGTAAGGGGCTAGCAAGAATTATGGAATAGTTTTGAAGAAAAGTTAAACTCCCAGTTGTTTTTCTTTATTTTCTCGCTTAGGATATTTTTGCACTTCTGTAACAAACGATTTATGTTGAGAGAATTTGTCTTGTCTTTTAACTGAATTACTCAACCATTTGGGAAATAGGGCAGTTGAAGAATAGTGATATGTTGCATTCATTTGTCTTTTAACTGAAGTCAAGAATAGTGATATGTTGTCACTATCTCTTTGGAGTAGTTGCATTCAACAGCAAGCACAGAATTCTAAGTTTTAAAGAGCCTGGCCATAATAATTCTCTTAGGGTTTAGATCAAAGCATAGTTCAGAATTACTATCTCAAAAACTTGAAAATATATTTCAAAAACATTTTGTATTCAAATACGTTTAAGGATCTCACGTATTTTGAAAACTATTTTTAGGTTTCTGAATATTGTGAATCATATGGAAATTTTTTGTGGAATCCTATAGATGATTTTTTATGAATTCAAGAACATACATACAAAACAAAATTAGATTTACTGGATTTTGTGTGCAAGTTGCATGTGATTATCATGTAGTATGTCTGTTAGTGAATCTTATCGAACTCACATACTGAATGTATGTAAATAACAGGTGGTGCAACTAACAAGACTCCGGAGACCCTCCTCTGCTTTGAGCTCAGACATGACGAAGCTACCATTAATGGCAGATAACCTTGTGTATGATATGGATAGTACCACTGGCTCTTCATCTTCTGATTCCGATTGCCCCAACAGGAAACGATCACAAGCTTCTGTTGTTAAAAGCCAAGAAAATTATGTTCCGAATAGTGATGTTCCAAAAGGCTCTGGTTCGTTAGTGAAACCAACAGACAGGAAGCAAAAATCCCGACCTGTAAGTCCTCTGAAAGAGATATCAATCAACCAGAAATCTGATTCAGTCTCTTCTTTGAGACCAATGCAGCCACTATCAGCTACTGGAGATCTTAAAAATAGGAGGCGAGCTCAAACTGGATCTAGGGCTGTACCGCCACAGAAGAGATGGGTTTAGTAAGTATTATAAGATTGTATGCTTGATGATGCCGTACAAGAAGGTTCTAGATTTTGATTTGCTCCATCCTTTTAGAACCAAAATGGGATCTTGAAAGTTTGCTTTATCTGAAAAATTTACTGGATTGATTAACTTTGTTTATTTGATCAAAATTTATGGAAATTTATGGAAAGTTTGCTCTAGATTTTAATGAGTAATGCCTAGAAATCTAAATCAAATGACAAAACTTTCTTGTTAAAAAAAAATTATTATTATTTTATATAACATCACTTTGAAGTTTGGCTCTTTGTTGAAATTGCTGCATCTGCATCCTAAGTTTCACACCTCATGGTTGGGCCATTATGATGTCCTGACATCCACGGCACAAAGACCAACTATATTTTTTATATGCGAAACAATGTAACATGTGATAAATAAGAAAAATGGACGTTGATTGTTTAAGGATTCATGGGGCGTGAATCACCTATTTGTTTGAGGATTCATGCGTTTCTCCTACACTCATTGCAAGAATTTAGGTAGTGAAATTTATGAATTTGTGCTCAAATGAAACAATGCCTTCCCCTGCAACACATTGCACACAGCGTGTATGTGTGCTTTAGGTTCTCTGTCATTTGTATTTGAGTTCTATTGAGTTGAATACATGGAATGATTAAAAACCGTTAATAGCTATACGACGTTTTCTTATTTTGCTGTTTCTTTTCTGCTACTTGTTGTTTTCATAGTATAAAATAGTCTTGGTACAAAAACTCTATAAAGATGATCCATGGGAGCGTTGAAATGCCTATGTGAAGACCGGATGGGGATGTGTGTGCACTTCTGGAAGTTGTTGAGGCCAGTACATGACTTAGTTGCTGAGCATTATTGTTGTGTAATGTTGTTCTTTGTTGCAAATTGTAGCATTTTCAGAACAAGAGTTTTTTAAGTTCGGTAGATTTAAAGATACTTTTAAACAGTATTCATTTAGTTCTACAAGTACTTCTTTATGGATTGTGCCTTGGTGAAAAATTAACTAGTTTTTCTTTTTCCTGCACTTAGACATAACCAGCTTGTTTGAAAATGTGATTTGCGTTTTTTATTTTATTTTTATTTTATTTTTTTGTAGATAGCAGGCTTGAAGTGAGTGCTTAGACATAGAAGAATAGCGTGAAAAAATGTTGGGTGGTATAGATTCATTCTAAATGCGAGCTCCAATATGTAAGGTTTAGTTTGAATCACACTGTTTTTTTGGTTACTTTTTCATGTCTATTCTTGATCTTTAGAATTACTAATTTGAATTCATTAACTGAACCTAGGATGAGAGTATATGTTATGAATGCAATTCCTCACCAAAACTCAGAATCATTATTTTGATATGATAATTGATGAGGATTCTGAAGGCATTACATTAAGAATAAATGACAATTATGATAATTTTTTTGGAATTTTAATTAATTTATAATTTTTTATTTATAAGAGTATTTTTATTTAGGGTAAATTACACTTCAATCCCGTGTGATTTATCTAAAAAATACTGAGTCCCCTTATAATTTTATTTATTTATGAGAGTATTATTCTCTCATTTCTTTATCATCTTATAGCAAACTACACATCTCTCATACTATCATCAAATACATATCTAAGCAACTTTGAATCGTAAATGAAACTTCGGAATATACCAAGCAGCAACCCAAACGATTACTAAACCAGAAAGGAAGCAACAGAATAAAATTTGCACTCTATACCGGCTCAAGACAACTAAAAACAATCTCTAATCTGCTGTAAATGATTAACCACATCGTTTATGGAGTAATCCTCAAATTAGGCTTGGCCGTGACCCATATCGCCACTTTAACCTTAATAAGATCATAAATGCACTCCCAGTGACGTTGAGAATCTTCAAAAACAACCCTGCATAATACAATAACAAAGCAAAGTACACCAAATCCATGGAGGCCACCGCAGATCAATGCTTTATTTGTCAATTTCATTTTTTATTCAAATAATGAAACATAATGAAAAAACACTTTTCTTTCTTTGAGGTGGAAGTTTCCAAACCCAAATGACCTCCTTTGAGGTGGAAGTTCCCCATTTCTTAAATTATTTCCCATGAATTCCCCCACCATTTCTATTCCACTCTTAGGCTTCGTTTGGGAAGCAAAAGTTGGGGCTTTTTAGTCTAATAAGACAAAATATCACATTCAACCCATAATTATTACATTCTTTTTCTAACAAAAAAGTCAAAAAAGCCTAAAGCTCTTCCCAAACCAGATTTTTTAGCCCTAGGCTAAAATAGCCAAAAAAACTAAAAAGTCAAAAAATTAACTCACTTCCCAAACGAACCTTATTGTCTTGGGTAAAGAGTAGATGAAGGATTATGGTGGTTGTCATGGTAGAGAATGATAGACATAAATTTGGAATGATATATATAGATTTTATTATAATAATGAAACAAAAATGAAAGGTAAAGATGAAGAAATGAGGGAGATAAACTAGAAAGAGAGGGAAGCATTTTAGAGAGACCACCAATGTCTTAGATTTTCAAAAAACTTGGGGAGAAGAAAAAGGTAAGGAATTATTCAATGTGATTGAGGGGGGAAAATTTTAATTTTATGGTCATGCAACACACGCTCTGTTGAAACAAACGATCCCATCCAAAATTGTACTTTGATATAAAGTTCAGGGGTGTTAAAAATGAAATTATAGAGGGATTCCGTATTTTTTAGGTAAATCACAGGGGTTAAAGTGTAATTTACCCTTTTATTTAAGAATTAGTTATATTAGGATTTTGTTTCTTCATTGCCAATAATCATTTTTTAGTTATAAAGTCCAAATTACTCATATTTTTTTTTGTTTGGAAGGCTAAAAATGTTTTTTTATTTTATTTTATGGTAATTACAAATACACCCCCGAGATTTGTTTAAAATACGAATTGTCTTCTATGGTTTAAAAAATTACAAATACCTCCATGTCAGAAGTTTTTATTTATTAGAATTAATTGAAAAAGTGAAATTTTTAACCGCTGTCCTAAGTAATAAAAATACGAATTGTCTTCTGTGGTTTAAAAAATTATAAATACCTCCCTGTCAGAAGTTTTTATTTATTAGAATTAATTGAAAAAGTGAAATTTTTAACTGTTCATTTATACAATAATAAAATTATCTGAATTCTTAATTGAAATAACATTTTAACATTATTAAAAACTATTAATTAATTTGATGATTTATTAATAATATGACCTATTTGTTATGAAATTAAAAATCTTAAAGGGTATAATATAATTTATAGAACCACATAGGGTAATTTATAATTTAAGTAAACTTTAAGAGTTGTGTTTGTAATTTACCTTTTATTTTATTTTAAAGTTCAACAATGATACATTCCTCCAAAATCAAAACTCTAAGCCCTGTTTGTTTTCAGAGATAGAATGGAGGGAATTGATAGTGAGGGGATTGATAGTGAGGGGATTAAGTAAATTGTGTTTGTTTTGATAATAGTTGTTAGTGTAGGGATTGTCAAATTATTTTTATATAAAATAAATATAAAATAATAAAAAAATAAAAAAAATACAAAAAATTTAAAAATTTAAAAATTAATGTTTTAATAAAAATGCCCAACATGTAAAAAATTAAAAAAAATAAAAATAAAATAAAAAATTTTCAGAAAAAATAAAACAAATAAAATAATGATTTTTTTTTTACTTAACAAAAAATATAAAAAATTAAACATTAATGTTTAAAAAAAAATGTCCGACATGTAAAAAATAAAATAAAAAATAAATAAAAAAAAAATTTGTAGTCCGCCGAACTATTTTTCTAATACAAAGTCCTGGAAGTCCATCTAAATCTCCTTGGGAAGGTCCATCCTAATCCAGAGCTCACTATCAATTCTCTCCCCATCTCTCAAAACAAATACAATATTAGTGGATCTCACTCACTACCAATCCCAATCCCAATCCCAATCCCCCCTCTAAGTTTCTAAAGAAACAGGACCTAATTGAACTCTAGTAAAATAGAAAATTACAAAAAAAAAATATATATATAACCAAAATATTACATCAGATGAGACTTACACACGCATTAAAACTATATGTTGTGCTTGGTTATCATTTTTCAAAAACACTTTTCAGAAAATTCTACTTTCTTATTTTTCATGTTTTTTTGTTTTTATTGAATTTTTTTTAATATTTTGAGAATTTTTTAAAATTTTTAGACATACCTAACATAAATATATCTAAAAAGTAAAAAAAATTTGAAAAAAACCTTTTAAAAATTCACTAAATACCAAAAATATAAAAAAATATGAGAATTCAGTACATTTTTTATATTTATTAATTTTTAAAAATATTTTTTCATAATTTTTTTACTTTTTAAATATATCTAAGTAAGATACATCTAAAAAAATAAAAAAATATTTAAAATTTTAAAAATATTTATTAAAAAACCAAACCAAAAATACTGATTTGATTAGAGTTCAGACCTCCAAAACATTTTTGTTTACAGTGAACACCGAAAAAGAATGAAAACCCGACGTCCAGGTTCGCTCACCTGAGCAACTATCCCCATTGGTCGATTAGAATCATACACGGATCGGCATCTATGCCACCTCAGCTCAAAGAATCGTGCCTTATCGGACGATCCAAATTTATTCCTTAACAAAAAATTCTATTGGTCATTTAACACCTCACGCGGATCGCAACCCAGATTAACTAAACCCAACCGTCCATTATCACAGCAATCGAACGATCCTTACCCTTCCAACTCAAATTTTCAAAAATTTCAAACCTCCCGCTCTTTTCCGGTAAAACCTATAAATACTCTAAAAAACGCAATCCGTCAGTCACCATTCCTTTGCAATTTTCATTTTCTCTCTCTAGAATTCTACATTTTCTCTCTCTAAAACCAGAGAAATGGCAAGGACAAAGCAGACGGCTAGGAAGTCGACGGGAGGGAAGGCACCACGGAAGCAGCTAGCGACGAAGGCGGCACGGAAGTCAGCGCCGGCGACCGGAGGAGTGAAGAAGCCGCACAGATTCAGGCCAGGGACGGTGGCGCTGAGGGAGATCAGGAAGTACCAGAAGAGCACGGAGCTTTTGATAAGGAAGCTTCCGTTCCAGAGATTGGTGAGAGAGATCGCTCAGGACTTCAAGACCGATCTCCGATTCCAGAGCTCCGCCGTCGCCGCCCTCCAGGAGGCAGCCGAGGCCTATCTAGTAGGGCTCTTTGAGGATACTAACCTCTGTGCTATTCACGCTAAGCGTGTCACTATTATGCCCAAGGATATCCAGCTCGCTCGCAGAATTCGTGGCGAGAGGGCTTAGAATTTTGAAATCCTATATATCTATATTCTATAGTCTCTCTGTTTCTGCAGTTGCAGATGATGTTTCTCTCTTTCTAGCTTCTCTATGTATGACCTGATTTTCAATTTATGTTTTCTGACTTGTGATTAATGGAGATTTTAGAATTTTAATGATGATTTTGACATTTTGATTGGTGGTTTCCGATTTTGTCTGCTGTTTGTTTGTGAGGTATGGCTCACGTCCATAAATTTTATTTATAGACATTATCGTAAGTTTTTTTTTTTTTTCCCATTCAAGTTATGAATTTCACATTACATTAATTGAATCTTAGCTATAATTCACTATTTTCTGTAGATTTGTAATTAAATTTTCTTAGAACTTCGCTTTTTTGTCTCTTATATCTTAAATCAGCAGTTACGTTATGAAACCTTGTGGTCTGTTCTCCGATAAGTTGTGGTCTACTGAATTTGTGGCATCTATTGTATCTAAAGTATCACTTGCTTTGTGCAGGGATGTTTGGTTCGTTTCACTCTTGGGCTCTGTTTGTTTTGGGTTATAGCAAGGGGATTAGGATTACTAGTACTTTAGGATTAGTATATGGGGTGTTTGTTTTGAGAGATAGTTTTGGGACTATTAATACCTTAGACTAATTAATACTTTGGTATTATTAATACCTTGTTTGTTTTGAGAGATAGGGAGGGTATTACTAATACCTTGGTATTACAAATATCCTTGGGGAGGGAATTCATACTGAGGAGGTAGAGATGGTATTAGAAAAATAGTGAGGGGATTAGAAATTTTTTTATTTTTTTTATTTTTTATATATTGGAAATTTTTTTTAAAATATAATTTTTAATTTTTTATATTTTTTTTATTATTTTATATAAAAATAATTTAACAATTTCTCACTATTAATCCCCTCACTATCAATCCTCTCATTACTAATCTTCTCACTATCAATCCTTTCATTAACAATCCACTGATTATTAATCCCCTCACTATCAATCTCCTCTATTCTATCTCTGAAAACAAACGACCCTCACTAACAATCCATTCACTATTAATCTCCTCCATTCCATCTCTGAAAACAAACGGGGCCTTGGTTCTTTGAGATGATTTTTGACGTGGATAGGTCTATAAAGGTCATAATTCACTATGAATAACCTAAGTCTACTATTTAGGGTTTAATATATAACTCAACTGATAAGGCTTAGTATCATTTGGAAGTCATAAAGAATTAATGATATTCAGACACGTGATAGGTAAAGGGCAAGTTATATCAGTAGACAAAGATTTATAAAGTTATTGTCACTTTACATCGTTATTAATGTACCCCTTACTGCATATATTATGATAATATCTTTTTGTCAGGACAGCATGTTCTTACCCTGAACAAGGTAAGTTACAGCATAAATTTTTGGCCAAAGTGACAGGTCCGAAGGGACAACAAAATGATTACCAAAGAATATAAGTAAACGTTGAAGACAAGAAAAATGTTAAACATTTTTATCTCTAATCTATTTACGTATTCCACTCTCTCTCTTTAACTTGTTCGTTGAAGGGTTTGCTAGGGGACTCCTTGTTCTTTGTTGAACTCTTGTGCAGATTCTTTGGTGGGCTTGGTCATTCGGACATTAGGCTTGAAGAGTGTGGATCAGTCTAACCTGTCCTACCAACAAAAATTGCATGATCAGTTGGCGCCGTCTGTGGGAATCTTCTGCTCCGTGTGCCAGTTGTGCTCATTGTCGCCGTAGATCCTGTTCCAATAACCCTTTTCTGCAACCCATCAAAGTGTATGGTTACGACTAGATTCATGATTTTTCACCAAAATGTTGCCGACTACCAAACTGACCCCCCCAATCCAAACAACTCACCATAATATTTTATCGAGCTTGCTAATAGCATTAACCGCACGGCCGAGCAAAACCAAGCCCTGATAAATGCCATATTCTAAAGAAACCTTACTATGTCTCATCCACCACTTCTAGATATTTCGCCCAACCAAGAATGAGTCTTGAGCCATACTATCCCGCAACCCTATCCACCTAACTCGGAAGGCTTGCAACCTCCTCCTCTTAATATAAACCCACCACCCTGACCCCCGCATCCATCGGTCCTGGTACCAACCCCTGAAGGGGAAACCAGTAGCGTCCAACCCTCGCTGCCTTTCGGTGGTGACAACATCTCTCTCTGGGATATAAAACTTCGAGCTATGAAGCTCCAACTCTAAGGGGTCATGCAAAACATCTAGCATAAACCCTCTACCACCGCAAACTCACCATTTGTCGCCTCTATCCGGGACAAACCTCTCCCTCCTAAGTTCAAAATGCCCGCCATCGACTCTTTCAACAGTACAACAGACCCAGTCGATCACTTAGAGACCTACAGAACCCTCATGATTCTCCATGCATTTCCCGACGAGATCATGTATTGGGTTTTCCCCGTAACACTCAAGGGGTCGGCCCAACTTTGGCATAGTCAACTGCCAGCAGATTCTGTCTCCACTTTCCAGCATCTCAATGACTCTTTCCTCAACCATTTTATAGGAGTCCAATGCCAGCGACGTCCAGTAACCTAACTCCTCAATATTCGTCAGACCGAGGCGGAGTCGCTGCGCAGTTTCGTTACCCGCTTCAACACTGAAGCCTTGCAGGTAGCGGAAAACGATGACAAGGTCATCTTTACGGCTTTGATGGCCGATCTACGGTCATTTGATTTCCTTTTCTTCCTCTCAAAAAACCCCCTGACCTCCATGGCAGCCCTACTCTCTAAAACCCAAAAATACATGAGCGCTAAAGATTCCCTAGCCGCCCGTTAAGACCCTACAGCAAAAAACTCGACCCCTCGAGAAAAGTGAAAAGACCTAGAAGTCAAAAACACCCAGTACAATACCCAAACACCACATTATACCGATCGACCCCCCGAGCCGATCGGTCGGCACCAGTCTGATCGCGCGGTCGATTCGAGCGGTACATACCCCTTAATTCCCTTATGGAACAAGTCTTCAACCAGATCCAGCGGGACTACCCCCTTAAATAGCTCCAACCATCAAGAACCCCTTCTAATCGGGAAGACTAATCCAAATATTGCCGTTTTCACCAGGACCACGGCCATAATACCGATGAGTGTGTTAACCTCAAGGACCAAGTTGAGACCTTAATATGTCAGGGACGTCTTAGCCGGTTCACGGACACCCGCCTTCAATAGAGACAAAAGACTAAGCCCACCAAAAACACCTGCCAGCGCATTCCTCTCCGGCAGCCAGCCTAACCAAATCAAGGCCATGATCGCCCTTCACAGCAATCTCGGGCACAGGGTAATCCTGCCCCACCTGTTGGAGAAATCAAAGTTATTTTCGGTGGGCTTGCTTGTGGAGGACCATTCCGCTCGGCTTAGCGGGCAGAACTCAAGAAAATAAGGCAAGGCTCAGACAAAGAGGTTGTCACATTGGACCGGCCTTTCAAACAGCACAGGCAGTGGACTGAGCTTATCACCTTTACGGACGCCGACTGCACAGGCATTTGTTATCCCCATGACGAAGCCAAGAAGGCGAGGTATCTGGTCGAGCTGCAGAAACATCGAGCTGCTCACCAGGTCGAGTTGAAGAAAAAGGTTGACGAAGCGGAAGACCGTGGCTTTGCTGAAGAAGAAAGGGTCTATGAACGGCAGGTGGAGGGGACCAAGGATATATTTTTCCATTGCGGCTGGAAAGTTGCTGTAGAAAAACTTAGCAATGGGCCAGACTCTAACTTCTTTAAGAATCCTCCCATTGCCTTTATCCCGTCGCATATGCAAGCCTACGCTGTAGTTGTACAACAAAAGATGATAGAGGCGGCCAATGCAGCTAGTGCGGTCACCGCCGCCACCGACCAATAATGCGCCACTACAGGCTATCCCTGAAGAATCATTTCCAAGCGATCGCTAGTTCGATCTAGAAACCGTGCTAGGCCTTGATTCTAGTGTAGAGGATGCGATGGAAGTGACCGGGTAGGATGTTGTCGGGGAGAAGCGACCAAGCGAGATGAAGCCGTAAATCTGGATTACGGGTGCAGTTGGGGCCTTTTTTTTTTTTTTTTTTTTTTTGTAACCGAGCTACAAGCCCCTTGTTTTGTAACTGAACAATATTATGAATGAAAAAATCTTGAACTTTTTGCTCGCTTCATGCATTTGTCTTCTTCGACTTTACTGCTGTGTTTGAATGATTGCAACGTTATCTTTTATTTTGCCGAGATAGAACTGCTCGCTTCAACTTGTTGTCAAGTTAATTTTGCATATTGCCAAGATGAAAATTGCTCGCAGGGTCCAAATGTTAAATGTATTTTGTCATGCCGAGCTAATATCTGCTCGGGTAAGACAATACAAATGTGAAATAACTTTGCGCTTGATGGACTTAGCCAATTCAAATTTGTGGAAGCACAACTTCCTCCTCGAGTAAAAATCAGCTCGGTTAGGGTCCTTAAGATGCAGACAACCTTAAATGGAATATGTTCTTCATTGCATAAACCAATCAAAACAAGACAAAAAAAAGGAGAAACCAATATACGAGGAAGCCAGCAAGAAAACAACCATGTCTTTCTACTTTTTGGTTTGGAAAGGATTATAGAATATGGCAAATATTGTATTTGTGTTGTACCACAAAAGCATTACTGTTGGTGCTTGGGCCATTTCACTTTTAGAGAGAGCTTATAAGCTTTGCTTTGCGTTACCCTTAATAATAATGTTGCTTGTGCTTTGGTCCCTTTTTAAATTGTTCACTATCAACTATTTAAAAAGTTACACCGTTAGAGAAAGTGTTATCTTTATTATTATTATGTTTTTTAACATTTTTTTTCATGTGTGATCATATTCTTTTCTATAAACGAGTTAAACACATGCAAGTACTTGAAAATTTAAGTTATAGTTTTTTCAATGACTATTTTTTTTAAAATTACTATGAAAAAGTTTAACTATAGGTAAATTCAAAATTCAAAATTTTTTAAAATTACTCTTGTTAAAGTATTTTAGCATTGTTATACCTTGCGTAAATTTGGCATAAAGTTTAACTGTAGGTAAATTTTAGCTATTTTTTTTGAGTTCATTGTTGGAGCTACATATAAAAAGGAACATTACTTGCACCATTAGAACAAAATTATTAAAATATAATATTTTATCACTACTCATTATTAATATATAATAATAACAACAATAATAATAATAATA